ATTTGACTTTCTTTCCATTATATATATTTACTACCCTTTGTAGATGGATTGAAATATTTCCAGGAATATTTTTATTGAAAATGATTCTAACTGTTGTCTTAGTCCATTTGTGCTGCTATAACAACATACCACCGACTGGTTAATTTGTAAAGAACAGAAATGTATTGCTCAAAATTCTGGAGGCTGGGAAGTCCAAGGTCCAGGTACTGGCAGATTCAATGTCTGCAGAGGGCCCAATTTCTGCTTCCAAGATGGCACTTTTGAACAGTATCCTCACATGGCAAAAGGTGGAAGAGAAAAAAGGCTGAATGAATACTTTGTGAAGCTTCTTTTATGAAGACTTTAATCATATCCACAAGGGAGAAGCCCTCATGACCTAATTGCCTCCTAAAAGCCCCACCTCTTATCACACTGGTGATTAAGCTTCCACATAAGAATTTTGGGGGACACATTCAGATCTTAACAAATATTATCGTATTTTTCAATAAAAATCAGTAACATGGGGTGGGGTGCCGTGGTTCCCACTTGTAATTCTAGGCTGAGGTGGGTGGATTGCTTGAGCTCAGGAGTTCGAGACAAGCTTGGGCAACATGGTGAAACCCCATCTCTACTAAAAATACAAAAATTAGCTGGGTGTGGTGGCATGCTTTTGTAGTCCCAACTACTTGCAGAGCTGAGGCAGGAAGATTGCTTGAAACTGGAAGTTGAAGTTGCAGTGAGCCAAGATGGTACCACTGTATTCCTGCCTGGGCAACAGGACAAGAACCTGTCTCAAAACAAACAAACAAACAAACAAACAAACGACAACAAACAAAACAGTAACAGGGGCTTGGAACTTAAGCCTAGTCCTGGCTGAAGATCATGTCCTTTTTTTTTTTTTTTTGAGCTAGGCTTAAATTATTTTTTGAGCTATGTCTTTGATTTCTTGCTAATTTTATAAATACTATTATGATTTTAGAGCTTGTTTAAAAGAAAACTTGGCTTACAGTGATAGATTTAAGTGAGAAAGACAGTATTATTATAATATCACATGTATAATGCAAATCAGTGCTTACCACATTGCCTGTATCTTTTAAAATGAAAGATTTGAGAACATATGCTGCCTGCAATGTGGTGATAATGATGATGCATTGAAATACTCCATTTAAAAAGCATGCACAAGTAGTAATGAGTTTTTCTGCTAGCATTTCATGAAAAGGAAGCCCTAGGTCATGTTTGTAATATCTGTATTTCCTAAAGGGGTTCCAGTGGTATCATGAAATACCTGGTAAAGACTTTACCTGCATAAAAAGAGAGAATATGTACTTCTTCCTGATTTTGAAAGGTACCTGATAAATTACATTTCCCTCCAGGTTACCAGAAAACGACATCAACACAGTTTTTTTCTTGCAAAGTTAAAGACAATCATTGCATTGAAGAGGAAAATAGGTTTTTTTTCTTAATTTTACTTTAAAAGGATGTATTAAATCAAAATTAAAGTTTTAAGTCTAGGTTAAATTTTCTCTTAGGGAAAGAATGACATCAAAAACTTCCAGGAACATTAGTAGCTAGAAATAAGATTTATTTTCACTTAGGAAGCTGTAGTAGTATGTATCACAAAATACTTATGCACCTTGATAACTTATCAGTCTCTCATTCATAATATTCAGAATCTCTAACTTAAATAGGAAAATACAGAATAAACTCAATATTTTCTATATGCCAAGTACTGAACTAAAACTTTCTGTGCATGTATTATTTATTCCTCATCATCCCGTGAGATAGTAGTATTTTAATCAACTTTATTGACCTATAGTTTACATTTTTTTTTTTTTTTTTGAGATGGAGTCTCGCTCTGTCACCCAGGCTGGAGTGCAGTGGCCCAATCTCGGCTCACCGCAACCTCCGCCTCCTGGGTTTAAGAGATTCTCCTGCCTCAGCCTTCTGAGTAGTTGGGACTCCAGGCGTGTGCCACCACACTAGGCTAATTTTTTCTATTTTTAGTAGAGACAGGGTTTTACCCTGTTGGCCAGGCTGGTCTCAAACTTCTGACCTCAGGTAATCCACCCACCTTGGCCTCCCAGTGCCCAGCCTTATAGTTTACATATACTAAGTACAACCATTCTAATTGTGCAAGTCAGTGTGTTTTAGTAAATGTATACACCCATGCACTACTACCACAATAATAACAGATAATATCTTCATCATCGCAAACTATTCTTTTGTGCCCACTTTGTAGTCAATCCTTTGCCTCTACCTCCACCGCCGGGAAACCACTTGTATACTTTTTATCACTATAATTTTGTCTTTTCCAGAATTTCACTTAAGTGGAATCACAACATATGTAGTCTTTTTTTTTTTTTAACATTGCATAATGATTTCAGATTAATCCATGTTGCTTCATGTATTAGTAATTCATGTCCTTTTATTGTTGAGTGATGTTCCATTATAAGGATGTATCGTAATATGTTTATACCACAAGTTGATAGACATTCAGGTTGTTTTCATTTTTTTTACTATTATGGATAAAGCTGCTTTGAAATATAATGTAAAAGTATTTGTATGAATGTTGAGTTCTCTTGGGTAAATACCTAAGTGGGGCATTGGATTTTATAATGGTTGTACCATATTAAATTCCAAACAGCAATGTATGAGATTTCCAGTTGCTCCTCATCCTTGTCAACACTTGTCTTTTTAATTTTAACCACCCTAGTGAGTGTGTATTCATATCTCATTGTGGTGTTCACTGGCATTTCCCTGATGTGGTAACCAGTTTCCAAGATGGCACCCAGTGATCCTCATCTTCCAGTATTTATGCTTTTGGGTAGTCTAACCCCATGATAAATGTGGATGACCTGTGTAACCAATAGACTATTGCTGGAATGACAACTGAGTAACTTATGAGGACAGGTCATAAAAGACTTTGTAGTTTCTGTCTTGTTCTCTTTCAGACCACTTACTCTAGGAAAAACCAGCTACTATATCATGAAGACACTCAAGTAGCACTGTGGAGAGATCTATGCCATGAGGAATTAAGGCTACCTGCCAATAGCTAGCACTAATTTGCCAGTTATGGGAGTGAGCCATCTTGGAATTGGATCCTCCAGTCTCAATCAAGTCTTATGATATGGCCTTGGCCACCATCTTGACTGTAGTGTCATGAAAATTTCTCAGTCTGAAACGCTCACCTAAATGACTCCTTGATTCTTGATGTATGAAAACTGTGTGAGGTAATGTAAGTTTATTGTTGCTTTAGTCTGTTAAATTTTGGGGGTAATTTGTTATGCAGAAATAGACAAATAATATGGATTTTGGTACTTGGGGGTGGTTAGTACTATAATTCCTAAACTGTGGGAGTGCCATTGGCACCAGGCGGTAGGTGAAAGGTGGGAAGACTGTGAGGGAAATGTCAGTGAAAGCTTATTGATAGAACCTTGATGGCCTTTGAGGAGGCTGCCAGTGAGGATTTATAGGAATGTGAAGTAGCAGGATTCTAAGGTTGCCCTCAAGATTCCTGGCCCCTAATGTGTTTTGCATAATTACCCCATTGAATGTGAGCAGGACCTGTGAGTATGATAGAACATTACCACCATGACAATATTATAATATATGGCAAAAGGGATTTTGCAGATACAATTAAGGTCTCTAATCAGTTGACTTTGAGTTAATAAAAATGGAGATTATCCTGGGTAGGCCTGACCAAAACACATGAGACTTTGAAAGACACAAACAGCAGCAACAGAGAATTTTCTGCTGGCCTTGACAAAGTGAACTAGCATGTTTTGAGAGGGCCTATAGGCAGCATAGGGAAAGGTATTCTGGGTAGAGAGAACAACATGGGCAAAATTAGGAGGCTTGAAAATGTATAGTCTGTTTGTGTGTAGTCCGGCTAGAGGGAAGAGTGACAGGAGACACCAGCTGAGAGGTGTATACCATGCTAAGGAGCTGGACTGTCTCCATTGGCAGCAGGGGTGCATTGTAAGCAGGGAAATGACATTACCATCATCTTTAGAGAATACTTTCTATGAGCCAGGAACTAGGCTAAGAACTTGAGTGCATTATCTCATTTAATCTATTAATAGTACCGCATGACAAAGTTACTATCATTATCGCCACTTTACAGGTGAGAAAACTTAATCTTGGAAAACTTATGCCCAAACCCAGCAGGTGATAGCTCAGAATTTGAATTCCATCTAACACCTAAAGCTCTTCTGCGAATCATTTCTAGATCATTTTATCTAGAAGAGAATAAGAATAATTATAAGAATAATTCTAACAGTGTTATAGAATAGGGATTGAAGAAAGGCCAGGCAAGGAGCCTGTTCAGGTATTATAAGGGTTTTGAGGAAAGATGATGAGGGCATTAAGTATATTTTCAGTGTTTGCTCTGCTATGTTCTCTGTAGCCACACTGAGTTGGTTACTTGTTGGAGCATCAGGAGCCTCTGTAAAATGAGGACAGTAGCCGTGCTGACATCATAGGGTTCGTGAAAGGATTCAATGAAAAAATGTCTGTCAATCACTTAGCACCACGTCTGATGTAGTTGGCCCTTAATATACACAGAAGTTTACAAGGTATTTGTTTAATAAAGACAGGTTCACTCCAAGAAATTTTATTAAGTACTTAATAACGTGTGCTTTGAGATGTACACATGAGTACAACAGCGAAAAACATGAACAGGTAAATAACTGAACAAACTAATAATTTTAAGTACAATAATTGCCTGTAAAGAGAAATGGAGGATGCTAATTTTTAGCTCCGGTCAGGAAACTTTTTAAGTATTTTTCTGTATCTTTATTTAATAATCTTCTGATAATGAGTTAATTTAATATAAACTCAGATAAAATTTGTTGACAAAACTAAGAGATAAACCAAAATGAAATATCCGATTAGGATTCCTAATCGCGCCTCCAGAGGTTAGTACCGCCCCTCACGACTCTTCCTTCCGCCATAGCCACGCCTCTTTTGGGTTTACAGTTCAGAATCACCCTGGCCTCATTCTACAGCTGCTGTCTCCTGGATCCCAGCCGAGGATCTTTTGCTCGCGAGAGTTCCTCCGTCTAGCTGCACACAACGCTGCCGCAGGAAACAGAGGTGAGAGAATTGCCGAGACTTAGCTCGACAACACTCCCCGAGGCCCCGCCCCTCCTCTCTGGCCCTCCTCTTGGCCCGGGTCTTGGGCGTTGCACGTGCAGTTGTTGTGGTTCTACGTCACGTGGTCCCGGAAGTGCACGATAGGCCCGCCTCAAAGATGGCGACGCCCACCGCTCGAGGACGTGATCCGCCTTTGCTCCGGCTTGGATTGTAGCCTTGACGAGGTCTGAGCGACCATGGACCGGCCGGGGTTCATGGCATCGCTGGTGGTGAGTGCGGGGCGGTGGGGTGGGTCGCTCAGAGTGCCGGCGTCCGGCATTGGAGCCGGTGGGGGTTCTCAGCATTGGCTATCTTCCGGTTTTGCGCGCTGGACTGTCCTCGGGTTACTGGTAGCCAGGTCTGAGAAGGAGCGCGGGGCTCCCAGGCCACTGGCGGGCCTGGTATCAAGGCTGTGTCTGCACTGCCAGGTCGTAAGAGACAGGTGGGGGAAGGAAGGGGTACTTGACTCGTTGTCTTTTGCACACTCATTTACTTAAAAGAAAAAAGAGCTTCTATTATACACTGTTAACTACTCTTTTGGGAATTAAAGAACTGTAACACAACAACAAAAACCTTACTCAAGTCGCTCAAAGCCCTTGTATTCGATACTGCCTTTCTTATTGTGCCGCATCTCTTTTCAGTCTTAGAAAATAACATGTCCATCTGTTCATTCAATACATAATCTGCTATTTCTGCCTAGGCTTTGGAGAAATATTGATGAGCACACATAGCTAGCTCATCAGTAACGCTGCGGAGTCAATAGACAGGCTTAGCATTTAATTCCGTAGCAGAAAACTACAAGCATCAACATGTCTTAACAGAAAAAAACAAAAACAAACCAAAAAAAAAAAAAACACCTTTACCAAATATTTTGGAGCCTCCAGTAGGGCATATTAGATACAGCAGTTCACAAGACAGAGTTTGGCTGCCTACGTTTTCATTGTGTGGAATGGGCAGTGACAGACAATAAATAATTTTAAAAATGATTTTCATAGGGAAAATGGAGGCCCACATTGATTTATTCACTGAATTATCAAATTTTGGTGTTGCAGGTGTTGAGGATAGCATGGTGAACAAGATATACCTGCTCCTAAGGGTCAGGTGTTGGAGACAAAATAGTAAAATGACTGTTGGGATAAATAACAGATGGGCTAGGTTCAGCGTGTTAGGGGAATATATGGAAGTAGGGATGTCTTAGCCAGACTTGTAGGATGATAGCTTTAAATCTAGATTTGTTGAAACTTGTATAAGGTAGGTCTTAGAAATATAAAGAATAATGTTACCGCCTTTTTTTTTTTTTTGAAACGGAGTCTCACTCTTCGCCCAGGCTGGGGTGCAGTGGCGCCATCTCGGCTCACTGCAAGCTCCACCTCCCGGGTTCAGGCCATTCTCCTGCCTCAGCCTCTCGAGTAGCTGGGACTACAGGTGCCCGCCACCAAACCCGGCTAATTTTTTGTGTTTTTAGTGGAGGTGGGGTTTCACCGTGTTAGCCAGGCTGGTCTCGATCTCCTGACCTCGTGATCCATCCGCCTTGGCCTCCCAAAGTGCTGGGATTACAGGCGTGAGCCACCGCGTCCGGCCAATGTTACCGCTTTTAAGGAGCTTTCCTGTCTAGCTGGTGAGACAGCAGTAGTAGTTTGTCAGCTAACATTCCTGTACCAGGAACTGGGGTAAGCGCTTTACATACATTATCCCATTTAATTCTCACAATAATTGAAGTCTTATCCTAATTTTCCAAATGAGGAAACTGGGATACCAAGCGGTTAGATAACTAGTTCAAAATCACACAAGTGAGATCCATTTCGTGTGTATAAGTATTGGAGCTCATATTCCAACCCAGGTGATGTCACTTGGGAGTCGTGCCCTTATCTGCTTCTTGATACTCTCAAGTCAGCAAAGTTTGCAATTGCTAAAACACAGGTGAGTGCTGCAGTTAACAAAATAATGGATTTAGTATATACTTAATTACAAAGTATGATACACATGCAGTATACTTTTTTCCCAATGTATTTATAGAGAGTAAAATTAGGATCAATAGGTGGAAGTTTCAAGAAACTAGATATCATTCCAGGTAAAGGAAAAACATTTTATTCATTCAGCACATGGTTGAATTTCCATGTATTCTGCCCACTGGGTATTGTGGTAGGCTTTGTGGATACAGTGGCAGATAACCCCATTTGAGGTAGGGAAGAAAGGCCAACAAAACAGTTGCAGTGAATAAGTGCTATGGAAAGAAATGAACTGAAGATGTGACAGAGTAGGGAAATATTGGTGAACCTCTTAGATGGAGTGACCAAGGAAAGCCATGAAGAGGTGACATTTCGGCTAAGACCTAAAAGATGGGAAGGGGCTTGAATTTTTGATGATCAGAGTGGGAGGTTCAGTCATGGGGAATGGCTGAAGTGGAAAGAGCTTAGCGTATTCAAGTGATGAGGCCTAATGGGTAAGGATAACGTGGCAGGGGATGGTATGGGTAGGATAGGCAAAGCCAGCTGAAGTGGGGCTTTGTGGGCTAGGGAAAATAATTTGGATTTCTTCTGAAGTGTAATGGAAGCTATTGAAATGTTTTGTTATCAGAGTAGTACAGAAATGGAGTGGCTACTTTTTAATGTCTTGCAGTGCCTTTGAGACAGGGTGAACACTCCTGAGGGAGTTTGGTTTTGCTTACTACTGTGTTACCAGTACCTGGCACTATATAAGCACTCAGTACTACTTTGAATGAATGAAAAGCCGAGATGATTGCTGAAGTGTTGAAACTTGGATTTGAAGAATTAAATGAGATAACATTACACATGCACAGCAGAGCCTGGCAAGTAGCAGACATTGAAATGCTCCCTTCCTAAAGCTTCATGAAGAGGACTGAATAAGTGGTGAGCCTCTGGGATGTTAGTTTTCATTTGGAGCACAGTGTGGGCTATCCAGAAACAAAATCCTCAAATAGTACATTGATCAGTGTATACTTTTAGGAAAGCAACTGGAGCTAAGTATTAGCAACCTAAAGCTATTTATATTAGTAACATTTAACTCAGTAAAGACAGAAGCTACTAAAACATGGGACAGAGGGGAAGAATTAGGCAAACAATGGGAAACCCATTTCTTGGACTAGTCTGCAGCCGTAAAAAATAGTGCTTGTGAAGAGAATGTACTATAATTACATAGAAAATGCTTATGAGATAAAATTAAGAGGAAAATATTGCATATATGTACATTTGCTTGTGCCTAGTTAAAGCTATGTTAAAACCTATTCCATTCATGGGGAAAAAAAGCCAGATTGAAATACCCCAAAATAACACTTAAGTATTTTTGGTGGTAGGATTACATTGTGTAAGTCTGTTCTACTGCTGCTAACAAAGACATACCAAAGACTGGTTAATTTATAAAGGAAAGAGTCTTAATTGACTCACAGTTCCACGTGGCTGGGGAGGCCTCATAATGGTGTGGAAGGCAAAGGAAGAGCAAAGTCACATCTTACCTGGTGGCAGACAGGAGAACATGTGCAGGGGAACTCCCTTTTATAAAACAATGAGATCTTGTGAGATTTATTCACTATCACCAGAATAGCATGGGAAAGACACACCCCCGTGATTCAGTTACCTCCCACCAGATCCCTCCCACAACACATGGGAATTATAAGAGTTACAATTCAAGATGAGATTTGGGTGGGGACACAGAGCCAAACCATATCATTCCACCCCTGGTCTCTCCTGAATCTCATGTCCTCACATTTCAAAACCAATCATGCCTTCTCAACAGTCCCCAAAGTCTTAACTCATTTTAGCATTAACTCAAAAGTCCATAGTCCGAAGTCTCATCTGAGACAAGGCAAGTCCCTTCTGCCTATGAGCCTGTAAAATCAAAAGCAAGTTTATTACTTTCTAGATACAGTGGGGTTACAGGTATTGAGTAAATACACCCATTGCAAATGGGAGAGATGGGCCAGAATGATGGGGCTGCAGACCCCATGCAAGTCTGAAATTCAACAGGGCAGTCAAATCTTAAAGCTCTGAAATGATCTCCTTTGACTCCATGTCTTACATCCAGGTCATGCTGATATAAGAGGTGGGTTCCCATGGTTTTGGGCAGCTCTGCCCCTGTGGCTTTGCAGGGTACGGCTCCCCTCCTGGCTGCTTTCATGGGCTGGCATTCAGTGTCTGTGGCTTTTCCAGGCACAGGGTGCAAGCTGTCGGTGGATCTACCATTCTGGGGTCTGGAGGACAGTGGCCCTCTTCTCACAGCTCCACCAGGTGATGTCCTGGTGGGGACTCCCCTATTGGGACAGCCACATTTCCCTTCCACACTGCCCCAGTAGAGGTTTTCCAGGAGAGCCCTGCCCCTGCAGCACACCTCTGCCTGGACATCCTGATGTTTCCATACATCATCTGAAATCTAGGCAGAGGTTCCCAAACTTCAGTTCTTGTCTTCTGCACACCCACAGTACCAATACCACGTGGAAGCTGCCAAGGCTTGGGGCTTGCATCCTTCAAAGCCATGACCTGAGCTCTACCTTGGCCCTTTCTAGCCATGGCTGGGACACAGGGCACCAAGTCCTGAGGCTGCACATAGCAGGAGGGCCCTGGACCCAGCCCAGGAAACCATTTTTTCCCTCCTAGGCCTCCGAGCCTGTGATGGGAGGGGCTGCCATGAAGGTCTCTGACATGCCCTGAAGACATTTTCCCCATTGTCTTGTCAATTAACATTTGGCTCCTGGTTATTTATGCAAATTTCTGCAGCCATCTTGAATTTTTCTCCAGAAAATGGGTTTTTCTTTTTTTACCACTTCATCAGGCTGCAAATTTTCCAAACTTTTATGCTCTGTCACGTCTAGGATGCTTTGCCACTTAGAAATTTCTTCTGTCAGATACCCTAAATCATCTCTCTCAAGTTCAAAGTTTCACAAATCTCTAGGGCGGGGCAAAATGCTGCCAGTCTCTTTGCATAGCAAGAGTGACCTTTACTCCAGTTACCAACAAGTTCCTCATCTCCATCAGAGCCCACCTTAGCCTGGATTTTATTGTCCATATCACTATCAGCATTTTGGTCAAAGCCGTTCAATTTTCTAGGAAGTGCCAAACTTTCCCACATCTTCCTGTCTTCTGAGCCCTCCAAACTGTCCCAGACCCTGCCTGTTACCCATTCCAAAGTCACTCCCACATTTTCAGGTATGTTTATAGTAGCATCCTAGTCTGGGTACCAGTTTACTGTATTAGTCTGTTCTCACAGTGCTGATAAA